GTTATTTAAGAATCCAATTATCCATCAGATGCTTGTTTTTTTAACATTTCTATGTGAGGTCCAAGTCTAGGCACTAACTGAATAACTACAGCAACGGATGGGATAATATGCTGATGAGAGAAAGTAAAATCCTGGAAAAGCAAAAATACTTTATTGGCAGGCAAATCAAGATAAATACTACAAGGAGAGTAAAAGAGGCAGGAGAACAAGGCAATACTACATAAGAAAAGAAGATAAAGCTAAAGATAGCAAAACATTCAATAATGTCAGATGCAGGCAAGTCAGAGAAGGTCATTTACAAGTGCTCATGGGTTAAGTGGTTAGTTTGTCTTTGTGACACTGAGAAAACAGTAGCAATCAGTCTTCAGTGGGTTTAGGAATGAAAAGTAGATAAGAGGTATAAAAATGTCATTCCAGATTTTGAAGGGAAGAAAGTATATGCTGTTGTAAAGGGACTAATGAAGATATTTCTTTCTTGGACAATTGATCAGTTTGAAGGAATATTGGTAAAGAGAAAGATGAGCAAAAAGTTGGAGAAATCAATAAGAAAAGAGGGAGGATTTGCCTTGAAAAGAAACAGAGGCAGTTTTGGTTGATAAGTACATAAAGTTGAAGATGTAGATGGAAACAGAAATTTGGGGGTTAACATAACATATTTTTTTTGGTTTGGTTTCCATCTTTTATTGGAATAGCATTGATATATAACATTGTGTAAGTTTAAGGTATATAACATGATGATTTGATACATGTATATACTGTGAAATTATTTGGGTTTACTTTCTAATCACTTCCATGTACTTCATAATTTAAAGTTAGCATTATAATGGGAAATATCAAAAAAAGAGTAAATATTTGAAAAAATAGTGGAGGAGAATATGAAAGGCATCTACCTGTAACAGTCAAGTGAAATGAATATCAAGTAGCATTGAACATCCCACAAACAGCAAACTATGACTGTGCACATTTGTAAATTTGTTAATATAATAGTGTCATGATTTACTCCAAAAACTTAGGTGCAGGGATACCAGGTGCAGAGATATGTCAGCTTGTTCTGGTTTGGGAGGTTAGTAAGGCATATGGGTCAGGATGACAAATGGGTGAAGGCATCGGTAGTTCTGGCAACAGAGTAGTAAACATCTGGAAATGCTAGATTGTATAAGGAAAGAGGTAAAGACAGTGGGGTATGTAGGTTAGAAGAGCATATAAGAATATGGAGAAAATAGAATTTGAAGAAGGAATAACTTGATGTTTCAAAAATGTCTAGGGAATTTAAGTTAAATGTGTGGGTTTTGAAAGAAAATTGTGCTCTTTGGAGAGGCCCATATTTCACCTAAAATGAGAAGCTAATACCAGCTTAACTATTTGGTTCACTCCCTATCTTTTAGAGCAGGAAGCTGCAAACTAAGGCTCACAGGCCAAATTTGGAAAGCCGGCTAGTTTTATAAAAACAACAAATTTTTACTTGTTTTTAGAACACGGCCACACTTATTTTTTAAAATATTTTCTACGGCTGTGTCCATGCTGTTATAGCAGAGGTGAGTAGTAACCATAGAGAACTTATGGCCCACAAAGCCTAAAATATTTACTATCTGGCTATTCACAGCAGAATCAAGAACAAAAGCAAAACCAAAACATCGCCAACCTCTGTTTTGGAGTATTGATTATCAACAAGGAATGGGGGGAATAGAGGTGCATAATAGTGTTTATAATTTGAGAAACAGGTTCAGTGAATGGAATGATTATCTCATCCCAAATACTCAGTGCCTCTCCGTACCCCATTCACATCCCTTGAGAGCCACTGGCTCCTGGGGATGGCATTCAAAACCATTTCCCAATGGTTTCTACCTTCTTTTCGCAAAGAACCACACGATTATTTTATACCCTGTCACAAATAGTTATGTTCCTTTCTACTGCACATGGTACAGGGTGTTTTTATGACACATACAGAAAAAAAGGAGAGGAGGGAGGGGAAGGGAGGGGAGGGGAGGGGAAGGAGGAGGAAAAAAAGGAAAGGCAAGAGAAGGGAGAGAAGAGGAGGGGCAGGGAGAGGAGGACCTCAGATTTGTTATCTAAAAATTAAATAGTATTTGGGATAATGAAGGAATAATACATGTGAAAACACCTCATATATTGCCAACACACAGTAAGTAATTATATTCTGGTTTGCACATTGAGGAATACAACTCATTATTCAGGGATTAGTTTAAAATATTATTTTAGCAAGATTTAAAAGTTGGATTAATCATTTCCTTAACCCTTTGGCTACACATTAACTATATCACTTTCCATATTATAATACTGTTTATGTTATATGGCACAAGAGTGACAATCTTGCAGACAAATTATGTGCTATTATATTTCTTTTCCCCTTACCTATTAATTCCAAATATATAGCATGGATTAAATAACATACTTGATAAGCAGCAAACGTATTGGCATGGTGTAGCTCACTCAATTTCTTTTCATATAAAAATGTCTTTTTATATGTATTCTGTAAATTAACAATGTTGGTATTAGTTAAAACTTTTGTGAAAGCTTAGGACAAAGTAGATTCTGAATAGTAAAAACAAATATAGAAACGAAAATACAGTTATTAATATGAAGTACTTCTTATGCAATGTAGGAAATAGGAAATGAATACAATATAAAATGTGTGCATTTGATATAGAGTATTGGGCTCTCTGTAATAGAATGACAGCACAGTTTATGAAACACTTGAATGCTTTTGGAACAATTTGGCATGCCTCCAAGCCATGGAAGTAGGAAGGAAAATAGTTTAATTAGGACAAGCTAAGAGAACTGTTTGACTGTGTAATCGGAAAGCACTGTACCAAAACTGAAATTGTAGTTTACAAGTTGCATTTGCCTTCTGTTTTCAGCAAATGGCAGTGAGGTTCATATAAGCAATGTGCGCTATGAAGATACAGGAGCATACACTTGTATCGCAAAGAATGAAGCAGGGGTGGATGAAGACATCTCTTCTCTTTTTGTGGAAGACTCTGCTAGAAAGACCCGTATGTATTGAACACAAACACACACAAAGACGCACGTGCACGCATGTATACACACAAACAACGTCGTACTCAACTCCACAATTAAGCCTTTTTCAAAAACCAAATGCACCAGAAAAGTCTCAGATGAAAAATACATTAAGTAAAGTTTCATACATAAGAAAGATAGGAATCTTGAACTATCAAAAGTAAATTTAAGGATTAAAAAGTAAACTTGTGAAATTTTTAATAACAACGCTATAATGATTTTGTTTCTTTGGCAAGTGTACATAAAGTGTTTTGGGTCCCGTCTTCCTGTTTGCTCATACAAGAATTTAAATCCCTTACAAAACCTCACTCCCAAATGATTTGGAGAATTTAAAGTCTCAAAGTGTAACCAAGGTTTATGCTATAGGTTTAATGATTTAACATCTTCCTTTTTTTGTTAGTTGATATTGCAGTTGGTGGCACAATAGCTACAGAGCACCATATCTCTGCAGCAGGAACTGTGGTTACTGCTGCCATGAGATACTCACTACCCTGCCACCAAAACCACATGGGCAGTTCTTTGTTTAGTGCTAGAAATCCTTTGTCATCGCTGTACATGTCTCCTGGTTGGGTCATGAAGTAATAAGAAAAATATACTGTCCTTTGTTTAAAATTATTACTTGGTGAAAGGAATGTGGATGGGGTGGGGATACTAAAGATGGATTTTTGGTTATAGTTGAATTGTTTGTTTTGGAATTGGATTTAGATGTACAGTTGACCCTTGAACAACATAGGGGTTAGGGGTGCTACCCCCGCCATTTGAAAATCCACATATAACTTTTGACTCCCTCAAAAGTTAACTATTAATAGCATACTGTTGACCAGAAGCCTTACTGATAACAGTCAATTGACACATATTTTGTATGTGATATGTATTATAACTGCAGGTTTTTCAATAAAGTAAGCTAGAAGAACTAAAATGCTACTAATACAATAAAAAAGAAGAGACAATACATTTATAATATTTATTGAAAAAAATTCATGTATAAATAGACCTGTTACAGTTCAAGCTTCTCAGTCTAATTTGTAACAGCTGTTTACACCTTCTGTTAATCTAAGTTTTTGCAGGGCCCTGAAATTTTGAAAGTCCTCTAATTTGGCATGCTCATTTTTCTGAACCCAGGTTTTGTTTTTGTTTTTGTTTTTTCATGAAAAAAAATAAATCTCAGATATACACAGCAACATACTAGACTTTTACACCCCTCACAAAGTGATAACCACCTCCCAATCTACTACCCCTCTGACATCGTATATAACTGTTACAAAAGCATTGACTATATTTCCTATGTTGTACTTTACGTCGTGTGTGTGTGTGTGTGTGTGTGTGTAAATTGTAATTGACATTCAATATTATTCTACTTAAGCTTCAGATGTATAGCATAGTAGTCACACATCTACACCGTCTAAGAAGTGATCCCCCCGGTTAGTTCAGTGCCCCTCTGGCACCCTACATAATCTTTACAACATTATTGATTATATTTCCCATACTGTATTTCATATCCCTGTGACTATATTGTGACTACTAATTTGTACTTCTAATCTCTTCATCTTTTCCCCCTTCCCATATAATAACCATTCATTTTTCCCCCTATATCTCTGAGTCCATTTCTGTTTTGTTTACTCATTTATTCTGTTCTTTTTTTTAAAGTAGGGTAAAATATTGTCCCAGGAATCTTCTTATTCTTCTTTAAATCTATGCGTGCATGTGGATATGAGTGGATCCAATGAAGAAAGAGAATTCTACCCCAGTCCTGACTATCAATTTATCTTTTTCTATATTTGGTCTGGCTAGGAAAACCATCATTACAAGCAAATATTTAAAAAAGAAAATTCTTAAGGTGAGAAAAGAGAAAAGATAGCTGGATTTAATGACTTGGATAAGTTGCAAAATAATTTCTTTACTCTGTATTTCTTCTAAATACCAATTTGCAATTCACTTCGTGTTAAAAATTAATTTTAGGTGACCAGTAATGGAATACTTTAGTTTTCTTTCTCTTTTATTATGATGTTTGTGAGTCGGATTTTAATTACAACTCTATTCTGATTTTCTGTTAATGTCAGTCATTTTTTTCAATATATTTTCAATATATTTACAAAATTAAAACACCTGGCCATATTTCCATTAATCAGTAAGTCACTATCTACTAGTATGTGTATTTGCATACAATTTTAAAGGAACATTTAATATAATTTTATTCATAAATTTAGTCATATGAACGCTGAATTATAAACAGTTTCTGAAATCATGTTTTCACTTTATTTTGCTTTTCACTTTAAACTCTTAGAGGTAAAATAATACATTTTAAATAAATTTTTGAGATTATATGTTATCAGCATGCTGTGAAAATCAGAAGTAAAATTTTTATAAGATGTAACACTGCAGGCCTTACTACATCTATACAGAACTTTTAAAGTCATCTTATAAGAAACAATACAAGTGAAAGATTTAGAGAGTTTTTTTCCTTAGTCTGAGCATACAATATTTATAGGTGCTACTTATATTTTTAAGTTACATAATGTTTTTAAGAATAAAGAGTGAAAACTAATGGATTTGATGTAATTTATTAATTACTTGATTTTGGTAAGTATACACTGTAAGTTCTACCCTCTTAATAAATTTTAAGTCCACAAAACCATATTGTTAACTATAGGCACTAAGTTACACAGATCGCCACAATTTATTCATCTTGTATAACTAACTTTATGCTCATTGAACTATTTCTCCCTCCTCCCATCCCTGACAACCACAATTCTATTTTCTGCTTCCATGAGTTTGACTCTTTAGATACCTTATATAAATGCAGTTATACAGTATTTTTCCTTCTGTGACTGGCTTGCTTCAATTAGCATGCAATTTGCCAGGTCCATTTATGTTGTCACAAGTGATAGGAGTTCCTTCTTTTTAAGGCTGAATAATATTCCATTATATGCATACATGGTATTTTCTTTATCCATTCATTTATCAATAGATAATTGGGTTTATTTTCATATCTTGACTATTATGATTGATACTGCAATGAATGCGTGAGTGCAGGTATCTCTTTGATCCTAATTTCATTTTTTTTAATAAATACCCAGAAGTGGGTTGCTGGAATATATGCTAGTTCTATTTTAAAAATTTTTGAGGAACTTCCATAATGTTTTACATAGTGCTGCACCATTTTACATTCCTACCAATAGGGTACAAAGTGTCCAGCATCTCTACAAACTCATCAAAGATTTTATCTTTTGTTATTTTAATAATACCATCCTAACAGATATGATATGGTATCTCACTGTGGTTTTGATTTGCATCACTGATGATTAGTGATGCAGAACACATTTTTACATATCTATTGGCCATTTGTATGTCTTCTTTGGAGACACATCTGTTCACATTTTGCCCATTTTTTAAATTGGGTTATTTCATTTATTTTCTAATGAGTTATAGGAGTTCCTTGTATGTTTTGGAAATTTAGTGCTTAATAGATATATGGATTTAAAAATGTTTTATGCCATTCTGTAGATTGCTATTTCACTTGGTTTATTGTTTCTTTTGTATGGGAGCTTTTTAGTTTGATATAGTCCAACTTGTCTTTTTTGTTTTTGTTGCCTGTACTTTTGAGAAAATTATAGGCTAATATCCCTGTTGAATAGAGATGCAAAAATCCCTCAACAAAATATTAGCAAACTGCGTGCAACAGCAGTATGATTAAAAGTATCGTACACCATAATTATGTGAAATTTATCCAACAGATGCAAGGATGGTTCAACATATGCAGATCAATAAATGTGATTTGCACTTCAGTAGACTGAAGGATAAAAATCAGTTGATCATCCCATAGATGCAGATCAAGCATTTGACACACCCTTTCAGGTGCTTATGATGACACTCTTTTATGATAAAGACACTCAACAAATTTGGCATGGAGGAAATGTACCTCAATATAATAAAGGCCATACATGACAAGCCCACAGTTAACATTATACTCAGTGGTAAAGAAACTGAAATATTTTCCTCTTAAATCATGAATAGGACAAGGATGGCCACTCTAACCATTTATATTTAACTAGTACTGGATGTCCTAGTCACAGCAATTAGGCAAGATATAGAAATAAAAGGCATCAAATCAGAAAAGAAGTAAAATTTTCTGTTTGCAGATGACATGATCTTTATATAGAATACCCTAAAGCAGCGGTTCTCAACCTGTGGGTCACGACCCCTTTGGGGGTCAAACGACCCTTTCACAGGAGTTGCTGGGTACTCGTATGTGGACGTATCTGCATGTGGGCCTGGAGACGGATAGAGGAGTGGTGTCTCAGTTCCTAAGACCATCGAAAATATGTGTTTTCCGATAGTCTGTGAAAGGTTGAGGACTGCTGCCCTAAAGGCTACACAAATACACACACACAAAAAAAAAAACATTTAGAATTAATAAGCATTCAGTAAATTTGTAGTATGAAAAATCAACATATAAAAATCAGTTTTGTTTCTATACATTAATAATTAAATATCTGAGAATAAATTAAGAAGGCAATCCCACTTACAGTAGCACCAGAGATAATAAAATATTTGGCAATAAGCTTAACCAAGTGGTTGAAAGACTTGTACACTGAAAACTGTAATACATTGGTGAAAGAAATTGAAGACATAAATAAATGGAAAGATTTTCTGTGCTCATGGATTAGAAGACTTGATATTGTTAAGACCCCATACCACCCAAGATGATTTATGGGTCAATGTTATACCCAACAAAATCCCAAAGGCTATTTTCTATGTAAATAGAAAAATAGTCCTAAACTTCATGCAATAATAAAAGACCCAAAGTTATCTTGAGAAAAAAGAACAAACTTCTTGATTTCAAAATATATTGCAAAGCTATAGCAATTAAAACAGCATGGTACTGTCACAAAGGCCTATATATGGACCAATGAAACAGAATAAAAACCCAGAAATAAATCCACAAATATACAGGCAACTGGTTTTTGACAAGGGT